CCTTACCTGTATACTTATACATAGCAAGCTGGTTCATGTCCTTTGTGGGTTGTGTTTTTGGTTTTTTTTTACTGGCAGAATTTCACAGGTTGCCATCACTTGGTCCTTAGTAGCTAGGTCTGCCAGATAACTGCAAGCAAATTGGATGCGATACTGTGACGGAATAGTTTGAAAAGGCTAACAGTTATAGAGGTGATAGGTATATTTGAATGAGGAAATTGGTGAAGTAATTTTATAGGAATTTTCATGTTTGGATTGTGTTTTTAAATGACCTGCAAATACACTGAGGGTGCATAAACATGGAGACTGGACTCCTAGGTATAAGTATTGCATTCAAACAGGTACTGTGACACTGCAGAGCTACTTGGATTCCTGATTTAATTTTGGTAATTAATCTTTTGTACAGGCTTGCCTAAAGCCTGCTTGCCACTTACTTGAAGAGCTGTAGCAGTGTTCAGTCTGTGAGTACCAGCCAGTGCAGAAGTTTTTTCTGATGCATTTGAGAGTCAGAACTGTAGCACAGTTCATAATGTAAACATGAATGGGTGCAGCTGATCTGGGCAAGGCATTTTACAATAATCTTCTAATTTAGTTTTTTAATTTTCAGTACCTCAAAATCTAAGGACAACACATCTTCAGCTACTCCTCCACCCGTGAGAAATGGCGGGCACGTGGGCACTGTCCAGAACCAGTCAACAAGTAGCACTAATCAGCTCTCTGTTAATCAGCCACAGAATGCGGCAGGTCCCAGTCCCCATTCAATGAGGAGAGGTGTGTGTTTCATTTCGTTTTCAAGCCACTTAAGTTCCAATTCTTTATGTACTGCAAAAATGCTTGCTAAAATAACTTTATCATTCTCTCTTCCTTTATTACAGATAAAGGTTTAGCTCACTTGCATTTCTCTAAGGCTTAGCTCTAAATGCATCTTTGACTTTTGGACTCTTTCATGAATACTAGTAGTAATGTTACGAATGCTGGTAGTAATGTTACCAATGCTGTTTAACAAACTCACTTGAAGGCTATTGATTAGTAAACCCGTGTACACATTTCCATAGTTTCCTATTGATATTTCTTTTATTTGATAATACACCATTTTATTTTGATAATGAACTTGAGTATTCTTTTGTGCTGCTAATTTCTTTCTTTCAGGAGTTTGGTTTCGCAGCACACAACCATGAAATCTCACCTCTTCTCTTCACAGCTGTTAAAAAGCCTGCACCAGCCCCTCCCAAGCCAGCCAACCCACCGCCGGGGCAGCCAGGAAGCCAAAGTCCTGCCCCAGCTGCTCAGCCACCTTCTGTCTCTCCAAAACCTCCTGCTAGAAGTTCTTCTCCTCCTGCTCAACATGCAAACCAAGGAGCAGCCCCGACCTCCACTTCCCAGGTTTCTGCACCTCGGAGATATTCCAGCAGCCTTTCCCCAATACAAGCTCCCAGCCATCCTCCCCCACAGCCCCCAACACAGGCTACTCCTCCACTGCAGCCCAAATCAAACAGTCAAGCATCTCCTCCTGCTGCACCCAGCAGTGAGCATGGACCAGAGCAGCCCTGTTACACTCCTCCGCAGACTCCAACACCACCTGATACACCCCCTCTAGGAAAACATAATGCTAGTTCCCCATCGTCACAGCCACAGCCATCTGCTCAAGAAACCTCCCAGTCTCACTCTCCACCTCAGAGTGGTACGCTGCCAAGGCCGCGGCCGGTACCAAAACCCAGAAATAGACCTAGTGTTCCCCCTCCGCCTCATCCTCCTTCTCAGCTGGCGGGAGATGGTATCAATGCAAATCCCACGCAAACAGCTTCCAAAATAGTAACAGGTGAGTGGATTCTTTTATATTTGGTGTCTCCTCAGGGAGTGGAAATGAATGCCTGTAGCTGTAAATTAATTTTAGGGATGAAAACTGAAAAGCACAAATAATAATTAAAATACTAAATTGCTTGTTTACAGTTAATATGTCCACCCGCCTCTTCTGGCATGAGGATTTGGGGCACTTCCTCAGTGAAGGTTTTCATTCCTGAGGCAGAAGGGTTTGGGGGGAAGCGTAGATTATCTTGCTTATTTTTTTTTCCCTGCTTTGGAAGCAAAACACTATTATAGCAGCCATCTCTCTAGGGCTTTCTCCAGGCTCAGCATCATGGTAGTCTCAATTACGCTTATACATCTGTTGCCAAAAAGCAAGTATTTGGAGGAGGAAGAAGATGTAGCCAAGGATAGTGTATTTCAGCACATACAGAAGATGAGAAAATGGCAAAAGTGGTCACTGATACATGTTCTAATAGACAAGATACTAACACAGTGAATGTTTTACCTTATGAGAACAGTCTTCTGATGTGCTTTTGAGTTAGACATCCAGAAACTGAAGAATCACATACACTGAACTGTATATCTTAGGTCAATGTCTAGATAGATCTTCATATTTTAAATGCAGCCGCCGCCTTCTGTTTTGAGACATTCGTGAAGTAAAGAGAAACTTTCTGTCTTCTCACAGGAACTTCATGAAGCTGGTAGTTACTGGTTTGATAGGGATAATGTTAATCAGGGAAAAAAATGTAGCTGCTGAAGACAGTCAAAACTAGCAGATCTTGAAATGTTCTCCTGCTGAGTCTCTGCTTACTTTAGGAAATTCGGAAGGAAGAGATAATAAATGTAGGAGACTAATGCTTTTAAATCTACTTATATTCAATAATAGTTAAAACTTTCTAATGACACTGCAGCTTCTCTATAATAAGACTAGTGTGTTGGAATACAAAGTGTAAATTCTGTTGCCTAACAGCTTTACCCCATGATGCCTTCACAGGTGGGGATGGTTACTGCGAATAAGGTTTGTACTTACCAGAAACATGCAATATAAGCTAAAATGCTCCTGCACAGCAATATTTTATTTGTAGCTTTATTTTGTATATGCGCTTTGGAATATGTGCTCTCTGTCAACTCTGTGTTAACCTCATTACTACATACCATTCTGTTTGTAAGAGATTTTTAAGACCTGTGCTGCTTAATTTTAATAGTCCTGTGAACATTAAGTTATTCCTTAAAACAAATTGTAAAAATAATTATAATGAAGTGAGTAACACTTCACACAAAGTCACCAGATCTACTAGTCCACAAACCAAGTGTGAAGCAGTCACCCCTTTAGAACAGGTTTGTTCTCATCAGTGCATGCAAATATTGAAGCTCATGTGTTTTCTTACAGTTCAGGGCTTTATGGTTGCATTTTAATGTAGCTTTCACTTTAGATTTTCAGTTATTTTTAACTACTTGGAACTTATTTGGCAAAATACATGTTCATGTGACTAAACCCCTTTGCAGAAAAGCACCCAGCAGCATCTGCATTCTGGCATGTTTGCATTTGCATTTTGTCAGCTCCAGCCTCGCTAATAGTACTAGTCTGTTCAGTCGCAGCTGCCAAACGACACATTAATAATCTTATTTTTCATATGTAATGGGTTAGAGATATGCTACCTTTTTAAGGTAACAACTGCATGATAGGCTGAAAAAGTTGAGGCTGCATTTCTGAATTATCTCAAGATTTGACTGCTTACAGGAAAGATACTAAAATCAGTATTGGATTGAGGAATCAAGCTAGAAGTACAATTTTCTTAAATTGGAGAAAGTAGCAGTAAATGAGCTGCTTGGGCAACTAAAAAGTAGCTTTGCTTTTTAAAATAACAGACTTTTCCTTATTGTACTTCTTTTTTGTCGGTATCTTTAAAATACAAGAGAAATTTATTTCAAAACTGAATTCAGAAATAAGGCTGGGGTCTGGATCTTTACAGCACTTACAAATAAGTTAAAAATGGGAACTGTGCTGATGAGTCAAACTTCAAGGAAGGACTTTACCTTAATTTCTAAGTCATGTTTCATAGGTTGACCATGTTTGTTTTCATTTTGGAATTTTTCTGGTTCTAAGAAGGTTGCTTTAATGATAGCAGACAAGCAGGGTTTGGTTTACCACAAGGTAACTGGAGAAATACTTGCCTTCTAAATACTACCCAGCTGGTATGCAGGGGGCTGCTTTTTTTGTGAGGGAGTTTAAGTTACACAGGGCAAGCATCTGCTGTAGGGGAGCAATTGGCACAACTAAGGCTGTATATGGACTGTGAATTACAACTTAGTGCTGACTCCTTTTCAGCTAAGTTACAGGCTGCAGGTACACAACTGTCCTGTAGTCTGGGTAAATATAAAAAAAAAAAAAAAAGTTGAAATCGATAGTATTGAAATCAGCAGTGTTGAAATGAAACAGCATTAAAACTGGAGAGACTTAATATCATTCCTTTCAAGTGCAAACCGTAGCAAATTGGCTGTGTAAGTTGTGTACAGTAAACAGCAGTATGAAAGCTGCCATGCAGGAAAACCGGTGAAGGAAAGCTGATGATGAAGGATTCTCTAGCAAAACCAGTAAAGGTACCTGGAGAATCTAGTATGTTTTGCAAAAAAGAAAAAAAACAAACCAACACGACCTTGGGGAACAGTTAAAGTGATACTTGGGCTTACCTACAGCAGTACACTCAGTACAGGATCATCCACCTTTTCCAGATCAATATTTTTTAAAAGGATTAATGTTCTGAATTAACACCACTGCATATTACATGACAGTATCTGCTCTAACATTTACACGTGCACATATAAGCACTTACTATAGACAGACTTAGCTATTTCACGTTGTGAATTAGATGTTTGTAATTTTAACCTTAAATAGTGGAGTGAGGGAAGATAGGTGGGAATAATGGAAGCCAAAATTAAGTTCCAAACTTCGTAATATCAGAACAGGAATTCTGAATTGTTTTCAGGATACTTTGAATTCCTTTGTCCATGTACTGGACTTTAGTAATGCCTCAAATTCTGTTTATGGTATTAAAGTAATAAGCCCTAGAAAAGAATATTCTAATCAAAAATTTTATTAAATAATCTAGATGTTTGACCTGCATTCTGTAGGAACTGTATTGGAAAGTTCAATGGTAAGGAAAAGGCATATGATTGGCCAACAATGTTGCTAATTCATAATCATGTGTGTGCTAATGCCCACTACTAACCGGTCACAAATAACACTGCTTGCTTGCATTATTGTTAGCGTGGCATGCAAAAAGAATGCTGTTTGATGCTCACTCTTACATTAACATACTAAAAGTATTGGAGACTAGAATGTGTAACGTTGTTCACATTTTGACTGGCCAGTTTCACATTGTACTTTTTCCATATACAGAAAATCCCATCTAGAAATCCATGTCTTTTATACAGAGGTTTGTTTTGTATTTGATGTAGCTGTACCATTGTTTGTCACAGATACTCCTTTCCTGTGTCATCTCACACTTTCAGTTACCTCCTTTTCCGATTCATCCTTCAATATGCAGTCGTGGTAGGGAGAACTTCTGTGCCTGCATCTAAAGTTGAAGTACACCTTTTGAACCGTACTTTAAGTGAAGGTCCAAAGGTAACAGTAGGTGCTGTTCGATGTTAGGGAGAGTCCGGTGCCTCTGCCACTTGGTTCTGTGCTCACCTCTTCTGAGGTCAAGCTCAGTGTGGAACATTTTGAGTAAGAGAAAAATGCAAGAAGAATTTGGGAACTCAACAATCACAGTTTCTTCTTTCATGTAGTGTTGCTTCTGTTAACAATAGTAAGAATGACTAAAAAAAATTTGAAGTTTAAATCAACTGACTTTAAAAGTACTTAAATTTTCATCTCTTGTAGAAACAGCAGTTACACAATATAGTGGGGATAAAGGAAAGCTGCTGATATTACAAAATTTGGTTTCATGGATCCAGGACTTACTTTAAACACATGAATGTGAGGCTAAGTGAAACGGTTTGGTTTTAAAGTAGCCCCAGTAATTATTTCTTTGTTGCCTTCAAAGGTCTATTGAACAGCGATTGTCTTGTAGGTGCCACAAGGCACTGTTCACTGGATGTAGCCCTGTAACCAGGACACTGACTCGCAAAATCAGAATGAGGGCTGGGGTGAGAAATCTATGTAAAAGATTTCCCCAGGTGGTGGTGTGTAACAAGTCGTAACATTACTGATGGTTTGTTCTGTGCGTTCTGGATGACTTCATTTACCACTGAAATGCTGTCTTAGCAGAATATGGTATTTCCCGAGACTGGTACAAGACTGGGGAGAAAATGTATAGTTCACACCTCACAAGAAATCATTAATCCTGGAATCATGTTTTTGGGAAAGTTGCAGCAATACAGATGTGAACACTTAAGTGTTTAATCAGTGTCAGGCCATAGTATGATGGAGTTCAGCTGCTGTATTAACAGTATCACTGCATACGAAATGAGTGCTGGCTGGCACTGGAGTAATGGGCTGAGAGAGAAGCAGGGGAGCCTGCACTTGGCACTTCAGTTCTGTCTGCTTTTGCTTCTTCCATGTCATTTAGCTCAGAAACTTTCAACTTGAACATTTATGAAGTAACTTCTGGGCTAAAGTCAAGACTTAATGCTTGAGATAGGAGTCAAAGTCTTTATAGGATGCCTGTCTGTGCCACCTGTGTTTAAAAGCAAGGCATTTATTTGGATTCTTTATTGATTTAAGTGATCTAAATTATTTTCTATTTGGAACGGATGCTGGCTTGCAGTAAGTGATCTTGTGGCATATTATAAATTAGCTTTCCAAAATACAGACTTAATATATTGTCTTTCAGTTATGTTTTTTTGAACTGTTACAGGTTTTTCTGGTCTCCTAACTACCAGGGCAGTCAGTCACTAGAAATGCAACATTTTGAAGTCCTTCTTGGACACCTTGGCTTGAACAAAATTCTCCTCCCCTCAGAAGAAGCAAGGAACACACGTTCCCTGTAACACACAGGAAAGGGGTTTAATCTGCATTTGGTTTAAATAATTTCTCTTCTTTTGACACCATACGTGTTCCTGTTGCTTCTGGAAGTCACAGGTGGTGGTTACCTGGCTGATGATTCAGGTGCCACATTTTTTTGCTGCATGGCCATTGTGTTTTGACATGAAAGTCTGGAGTAACGTATCGCTCTTAAAGGGGCATTGAGGGATCTGATACTAAATCATACTTGCTGTCTTCCATTCTTCAGAAATAAATGTTTTTGTTTTATTACGTACAAGACTTAAAAGAAGGTATGTAGGAGAAGCAACTCATAAGCTTTTTGGTTTGGCTTAGCCTTTTTGTGTCCATGTGTGCACGTGCACATGTGTGCCAGCCCTCTGTTTGCAAAGCCTTTGTTGATCTTTCCTTTCCCTTTTCTTTGTAAGGAGATGCACCAGAAATACAGTAGTGAGTGAGATGTCACTGTCCAGACTGCTAAACTTGCTATTCCGTTTTTTGTGCAGACTCTAATTCCAGTATTCAAGAACCACTTCAAAATCCTTCTTCAGAGCTTCTTACCGAGACAGCAAGCAGAGAACTGCACAACCACCTCGTGCTTGATATTGACAATGATACGGAAAGCACTGCTCTGTAATGGGAACTCCCAAACTTTTTAAAAGTTCCTCTCCTGGTGGGAAAACCAACATACCTAACAGTGAAAAGCTTCTTTTGATGATATGGCAAAACTGTGTAGAGTTGTGACTTGAGCATCATGGAGAAAGTGATTTAACCATTCAGAAGAAGTTTAATGATCTGTGTCTCAAGAGTGGTTTTCAAAATCTTGGATGGAAGGAATTAATTACTGCAGAAGCTTGCATAGGAAGCATAATTGCTGCTAATACAACAGATGGTATTAGCTGAAATTCCAAAAGAATAAGAAGCAGAACATTAGTTATTTAAAGTGCATGTATTATGGAAATAATCTTTTTAACGTCACGGTTAGACTTTCATTTCTAGTTCTTAGACATTACAAGGAGATGCCTTGCAAGAGACATTCCCTCACTGATTTGCTGCCGATTCTTTTTAAAACATGAACCAAAAAATGCCAGAGTGCTGGTGGTGACTGCTGGTTATCAGTTGCCTTGTCAAAACTGTGGATGTATTCTAGTGCCTTGAAGGACTGTCACTGTAGAAGGAAACTTACTGTATCTTTAATCATTTCATTGCTACTTAATGATCAGTACTTAATACTTATTTCATAGTTATTTGTATTAACCAAGCCTGCTTTTGTTTATGTGAAACTTGCAACTGTTTCAAGATGAAACTGTGGAAGTGTTTTTTCGTGCTTTCATTGAAAATGCTTGAATTTTGAAAGAACTTTGAAGCAGCTGTTTGGATTCATCAGTTGGGTGAACATTTATAAAATTAAAGATTGTCTTTTGTCAACTTAAGGCATCTTTATTCCAGTTTGTGAGTAATATTGCTTCCAGTGGACACTGAGGGTTACACAATCATTCCCTGGGCTTTGTAGCTCATGAGCTGCTGGCTGCTCAGCTTGTTCTTTTAAGGAAGGGAAAATGACCCCTGTTAGTGGGTGTAGATCTGCTTTCCTCTGTCACTATGCTTAGCACTGTAAGAAATTATTGTAAGTCAAAATTCAGTGTTAAGAGCCACAAATTCTAGTTCTGTGAGTAACTTCGTTGTTTATCTCTAAAACTGTATGCAGTGTACCTGAATCCAGGGCAGGTTGTGAAGGACTTAAATTCTCAGAAAATCTTCTGGACTTGCACATTCTTCAGCATTAAACAAATAGTTAATAGTCTCTGCCGGGATGAGCAGCTTGGGTGCAAGAGTGTGTACGCTCCCATTCATATCCTCACTGTCATCCTGGATAATAAACAGCGTATTTCATTGCACTTACACTGAGAGCACAGGGCTGTGACGCAGTTAAAGTTGAGGAAATTTGCCCAAAACATCAGGGCTGGAGTTACTCCCTTGTTTACCAAACACAACCGTGTCCTCTGTTCCTAGGAGTGCCTGGCAGTGGGTAGGGGTAGGAGGCAAGGGAGGGCATCAGCTTCGGGAGTGACTCACTTAGCTTTAAGCTATGTTGATGCAGTTGATGAGTTAAGTGGCTGCACAAAATAACGCTACAGAGGTCTAGAAAGAAACTTGGAATAAAATGAGGAGGTTTTGTAATGCTTTAACACTGCTGCTAGAATCTGCTCATTGTATATGCTTGTAAACACTGCTTGAAGGACAAGTGCAGCTGCTTGCTTGTGTGGTTTGGGGAGAGGTAAATTAGGTAGATTTTTTTACAGCCCAGTTATTTGAAGTTTACCTCAAAACTTTGAATACAGGCTCCTAGTTTGAGTAGGAGGCTAAAGCACTCTGTGACCACCTCTGCCGTGGACTGTGATTGCGTTGGGTCTTGCGGACGTGTCATGGGAGATATTGCTGTTTCCACATACCAGTTTGGGAACAGTCTGGTGGGGATGTTATGTGCCACCACTAAAACTTCAATTTCCTGGAGTAAAGCACTGCGTGGAGAGAGAGTGAATTCCATCCTGAAGTACAGCAAGGAGTTCTTATCAGATGGTCAAGTTTCATGAACTAAGCAGTGAGTTGTTTGTATTCCGAGAGCTATGCTAGAGGATTGTACGCATACAGCATGGTGCACTCCTCCCACCCCAGCCGGCAGAAACCTTTGCTAACGGTACTCTGAGGTACCGTGCAAGAGCAGACTGGTTGGATGTGAGGGTAAGAGATGAGCAGTAGGAATTTAGTAAGCAAATGCAGGAGTGTGATGGTAGCTTGCTTTGATAGGAATCCCATTCACAGTGAGGAAAACGATGCAGCTTTCATGAACCTGGATTTCAGTGAATGAATACGGGGTGCTTAGAGAAACACTCGGGTTAAGCTGAAGACAGTAATTGGCTGAACTCTGTGGGACTGGTTGGGCAGTGCTGAAAGGGCAAATAGCAGGCTGGAGGCTGGAAGGCAGACACTAATACTCTAAAGGTAATTTCTGGAATTCCAGTACGTACATTTACAACTGTTTACAAAGCAGAGTACGGAAATCATACAGCTGACTATTAAGGAAGGAATTTTCCTATTTTCTAAAAGCTATGAAGGCTGTTGACAGTTGAAGTCTTGGTGTTTTGAAGGTGGACTCCAAGGCAGAGGGCTGGGCCAGAGCCTCCTGACTGCATCCAGAAAAGATGGGTCATGGTGACTGGAAAACGTCAGCTCCTCTGTGGTCAACAGGTATTCAGTGGGAGAATAAAAGCTTGATATAATCATAGCTAATGTTCAGTTTAACCTCAAGGAAGCATTGTACCACTTCTGTTAAAATTTTGTTGCATCTAAGGTAATATGAAATACTTACCTATGACCTTGATTTTGGAGAGAAGCTAAATCTCGGATGATGAGGTGGATTGTGCTACTGCAAGACTGCAGAGAAAAGGGTAGAATTTTTACAGGATTGCGTATTACAAACTAATTTGTGAATGTAAAAGTAATTCATCAGCTACATGGACTTTCCCTTTGAGTCACAGGTGCCGAGGACAATGCGCCTTGTTCCTATCACATCTGACAGAACACGTCATCTAATTCTGTCAGAATAACGTTCTGGTGCAATCATCTGAAGCATTGGGTGGAATAAATCCCAGAGGTAAGCTACTGAACCCACCACAGCATTATTCAGGTCTTTAAGCCTATGTGTGGACTAAGAGATGCTTATACTTTTGTAGTTAGCTGGATCTTAGAAGCCAAATTAGTACAAAGATGAATCAAGGTTACTTGGTCCCACTAGGAATTCATGTAACTTACCTCTACTACATATAGCTGGAGTAGAGAACTAGCAGACCTGAGACTTTTTCTCTTAAGTGACCTTCTAATGCATTTTCAAACAATCCTCTGTGATAACCTTGTTTCAAAAGAAAAACTGGCCGTTTGTCAAACGTTTTATAGTGATTGTTGCAGGAAATTAGTGGTGTGTGGTCTGTTCTGTGCGCTGTCTGCTGCCACAGACAACAGATTGACAGATCATGCTTTTGTTATTCAGAAGAAACACGAAAGCGTTGCTGCCATGGGAATCGCCTCTTGACATATGCACCATGCTCCTAAAACTGCACCAAACCCTGCAGCATTTCAGTAGCTGAAGTCTAAAATCGCCATTAGCGTTTGTTTACTCTAAAGATGTAGTTCCATCGTCACTGTTGCTGTAGATAGATCTCCTGAAGGCCCCAAAGGTAGAGCACTTCGGAAGTCTGGCATGCGCAGGTGAATCCTTGCCTCTGCTCGACACTGGGACTAGCTGATGCAGGTGGTTACAAAAAAATAAAATTGTCTTAATGTATCCCACTTGTCAGACAAAACATTTGGTATACCTTAGTTGCTTGAGAAAGTCATACGTAAAGTTGGTTGCAAACCCAATAGACTTTAAAGTCTCTTTGCTCTAGTTTCTAATAGTTGTGTTTAATTTGCTTAGGAAGGGTTCCCAAGTGACAATTCTCTTTATATGGTTTAACAAAATAGTATGTTATTTATGGGCTACTACGAGGCATGTATGTATCACCGCTCCACGCTGCCCGTGACGTTACTCCGTGCACATGCAGCGCCATAAGCTTTCGTAGGTGATGTTTGCTACAGCCGTGCAATGTGTCTCGTAGTCTAAGAAATGTTAGGAGAGACG